GGGTGTCTGAGAGTCTTACAACATTAGTGCACAGGTTTTAGGGTGTCTGAGAGTCTTACAACATTATTTCACAGGTTTTAGGGTGTCTGAGAGTCTTACAACATTAGTACACAGGTTTTAGGGTGTCTGAGAGTCTTACAACATTATTTCACAGGTTTTAGGGTGTCTGAGAGTCTTACAACATTAGTGCACAGGTTTTAATCGGGTTGGTTGGTTAATGAGGATTAAAAGCTAGTATCCACTACACTACGGTCATTAAAGCTGCACATAACCTTTTACTTTAAGAATATTAAGGAGGTTAGGTAAGAGTCGTCAGGAAACTGGATAATTGTGTCTTGATGCGGGTTTTAGTCAAATGATGACCTGCAGCTAGAGCGTTTGGTCATTTGACCGAGGCCTTTTGCTGGCTTACCGGTATATTGTGCGATAAATGGTTTGAAGACCGACAAGTTGAATACTGAGACACTTATGCAACATATGGGAATCTTTATTAAGGAAACGTTTCGCCACACAGTGGCTTCATCAGTCCACTACAAAGAGTGATGGACTGAACACATCGATTCCAGGCTGAGGGACTGATTATCTCAAACTCCTCCTCTCCTTACCCCTCTCTGCTTTGTATCGGACTGATGAAGTCACTGTGTGGCGAAACGTTTCCTTAATAAAGATTCCCATATGTTGCATAAGTGTCTCATTCTTACCTGTATATTGTCCAGTGAATAGAGCGATGCGTACTGTCCTGTTATCACAGGGCTGGGCATGGGAACGCAGGATCGAATCCTGACCAGTCGCAGCTCTGTTAATGATTCAAAAATCACTTGTTTCGTCATGAGCTTGAAATCAGTCTTTGAGGCTCCACGACCACGTATGTTCTCGCATCAGGTAAACATTCGCCTTTCCGCTGAGCGCCTGGTGTTTTTAAGAATTTGTGGTCCAGTAGATAGAGGGATGCGTACTGTATCCTGTTATCACAGGGCTGGGCGTGGGAACGCAGGATCGCATCCTGGCAAGTCGCAGTTCTGTTAATGATGCTTTATAATTTTGAGAGCTGGCTCTTAAATGTCATGCTCATTGTCTCACTACGGGAGCCTACATCTCGTGACTACTGATGTGTTCATGACTCACAATCATGCTAATGTCGAGACGGTAATTGTTTTATTTCTTATTACTCCCTGACGGAGCCTTTGACTAACCACTCCGTAGAAAGACAAATCAAAGATGAATAATTTAATATATCTAACTCCTAATCATAACCATAATTTTTAAAGGAGAGGTCTGGTAAGCCAGAGGAAGGCATCGGTCAGATGACTAAAAGCTCCAGCTGCGGGTCATCATGTGACTAAGACCCGCTTCAGGAAACACTTGTCCTTACCTAACCTAACCTTTAACAAACCGAGAGCAATTTTATGAACACTATGAACTGTCTAGATTCTAGTTTGCTGAATAACTTAGATTTTATACAGGGTGAATGTTTGATTAACTGAAGATTCTTGTTTGGGAAGACAATAGGTTTGTTGTCAAATTAAAATGGCTTGCTAAGATTGGAAAACGACTAGTGAGAGATACAAGTTGGTTAGGTAGACAACGGGCTTGTTAGGGCAAAACACATAGGCTAGTTAGGGAGAAGACAAGCAACTTAGGGTACAACACAGGCTAGTGAGAACTCGGGTTTGTTAGGTTTGGATAGAACATGGATTTGTTAGAGTAGAACACGGATTTGTCAGGTACAGTACGGGCTTGTTAGCATACAACACGGGCTTGTTAGGATAGAACACAGGCTTGTTAGGGTAAAATACACGCTTGTTTGGGTAAAATACACGCTTCTTAGGGTAAAACGTGGGCTTGTTAGGGGAGAACACAGACTTGTTAAGATAGAACACAGGCTTGTTAGGCTAGAACACGGGCTAGTTAGGGTAAAACATGGGCTTTAAAGAGGGTGGCCTTGCCTGGGCCATTTCCTGGTCGGCTACCCAAGTGACGTCACAATAAGGTGGGCGGCCGGACGTCCGAGTACCTAGAGCCGCCCACGCCCGTGTCTATTTACACGCCCACGCCACCCACGCCCACTGACCGCTGAGAGTAAATACACCTGCCTTCCACTTCTGGGGAAAGTATAAATCACTAAGGAAATATTACCTCGATTTTTAATGAACTTAACCCACTTAAAGTAAGATATATGTACACACAAACGTACACACATGTATACACACACGCAACTGTACTCACAATGTGTACACACAAACATAGCCTAACATTAATTTGAGGTGAACTCCAGTAGCCATACGTTTGACCAGCCTTCCATCTTCCATATATATATATATATATATATATATATATTATATATATATATATATATATATATATATATATATATATATATATATATATATTGTGTTGTGTGTGTGTGTGTGTGTGTGTGTGTCGTGCCGAATAGGTAAAACTTGCTGTTTTGGCTCAAATAGCAACGCTCTTCTTGCCGAATAAGGCAAGCGAAAATTTGTTTATGCAATAATTTCTCAAAAATCATTCTGAACCTAACGAAAAAAATATATTTTACTGTGTTTATTATTAAATTATTGTAAACTTATTTATATAAACAATTTATATACACGACATTGATGAGGGACTAAATAACGACATCAGCAAGTTTGCCGATGACACCAAAATAGGCCGTCGAATTCATTCTGACGAGGACATTAGAGCACTCCAGGAAGATTTGAATAGACTGATGCAGTGGTCGGAGAAGTGGCAGATGCAGTTTAATATAGATATATGCAAAGTTGTAAACACTGGACGGGAAAATAACCATGGCACATATAAACTAAATAATGTAGATCTTAATATTACTGACTGAGAAAAGGATTTGGGAGTTCTGGTTAGCAGTAATCTAAAAACAAAAAAACAGTACAGAAGTGTTCGCAATAAAGCGAACAGAATCCTTGGCTTCATATCAAGAAACATAAATAATAGGAGTCCTCAGGTTGTTCTTCAACTCCATATTATCCTTGGTTAGGCCTCATCTAGATTATTCTGCACAGTCTTGGTCACCGTATTACAGAATGGATATAAATGCACTGGAAAACATACAAAGGAGGATGACAAAGTTGATCCCATGTATCAGAAATCTTCCCTATGAGGAGAGACCGAGGGCCCTGAATCTGCACTCTCTAGAAAGGCGTAGAATTAGGGGGGATACGACTGAGGTGTATAAATGGAAAACAGGAATAAATTAAGGGGATGTAAATAGCGTGCTGAAAATATCTAGTCAAGACAGGGCTCGCTGAATTGATTTTAAGTTGGAAAAATTCAGATTCAGGAAGGATATAGGAAAGCACTGGTTTGGTAATAGAGTTGTGGATGAGTGGAACAAACTCCCGAGTACCGTTATAGAAGCTAAAACGTTGTGTAGTTTTAAAAATAGGTTACATAAATACATGAGTGACTGTGAGTTGGACCTGACTACCCTGTGCTAATAGGTCTGATGCTCCTGAAGTGGATGTTATCTGACCTGACTACGTGGGGAGGTGACTTAGACCTGCCTCCCATGGGCCAGTAGGCCTGCTGCAGTGTTCCTTCTTATACTCTGTAACGTCACTCATTACCATCACCTCTGTATTCCTTGCTCCACTGCAGCACCTTGTCTGATTTATACCCACCACAGACGTTCTTCTGCAGGTGCTCTGCCAACCTTATTGTCTCCAGTAATAGCACTCAACATGTACACACAAATTATAATATGTTATTTGATCAAGTCCGTTTTTTGGTTGATATTGTATTATTAGTTTCTCGTGTTGTTTGTCGTGCACATTCTCCAGTGTTGTCCATGAAGTTAGTTATATTTTGTGCAAATGAAAAAAATACAAGCTTTTTGGTAACCAAATCTAACCTAGCAGAACCCAACCTAACCTAGCAGAACCCAACCTAACCTAACCTAGCAGAACCCAACCTAACCTAGTAGAACCCAACCTAATCTAACCTAACGTAACCTAGCAGAACCCAACTTAACCTAACCTAGCAGAACCCAACTTAACCTAACCTAACCTAATCTAACCTACCCTAGCAGAACCCAACCTAACCTAACCTAACAGAATTTAACAGTCTAGGTTAGGTTAATTTACGTTTTTTTAAAGGTCTGGTTACCAAAATTCATTTTTTTATAATATACATCTAAAATATAACCGTTTCTATTGCACAAATCAATGTTGCAAAATTTACATAGTAAATTATCTCTAACCTCAAAAAATCTAAACTCAACAACAGATTTTAGGCTTTTCTTATTTTCTCTTATATACTTTTTCTTTACTTTAAAATAGGAAAAAAAAATTTAAGTCAGGCTAGGTTAGTCTAAAATGTGATATGTTGCATAAGTGTTTTAGTCTAAGATGACTGGGTTTGGTTAAATTAGACAGTAATAATAATAATAATAATAATAATAATAATAATAATAATAATAATAATAATAATAATAATAATAATAATAATTATACATTCTTACATATAAAAGTCATACAGTAAGTACGAGGCACAGCTTCTGACACGGGATTCCCGACATTTCACCATCCTAGGAAATGGGGAATGGGAGGGTGAAGGATAGGTGTGAGGGGGGGAGGTCAGACAGGGACAGAAGGACGGGGTCGTTATTATAATTATGGGGGGGGGGCGCTAAACCCGTTGGATTACACAGCGCATGTGGGGGAGGGGGATGGAAGGTATTAAGGCTCAATTCAGGGAACCAAAGCACAGATCCAATTCCCTAGATCAAGAGCCCCTCACCAGCGTCAAGGAACCTCCCTTAAGGGGTGGACGGGGTCAGAGAAAGAAGGTTGCTTTCATTTAAAGCAAGTGATTCTTTTTCAGTGCTAGAGAGAGAGAGAGTGTAGGTAACAGCTCTTCACTTGTAAATAAAGTTAGGAACCCTTAACCCAACCTTGTAAAACCATGTGTAAAGATAGAGACCATTCACATACGTATCAATATTTAAACAAGGCAATTCAACAAGC